TAATTTTGCACGCTCTATGTTTTTCTAATAAAATTCGACCGTTTGTCCAGTATAATTAGTAATTTTGAATTATCTTAAAGGTGCGTTTACATTGCGGCCGCGAACGCGAACGAACGCGAATTCGGCTTACTAACGATTAAGTGTAAACAGTACGCCGAACGCGAACGAACGGTCATTTGTACCATTCGTTCGCCTTCGGAGCGGTTCGATGGGTTAGCGGTAAGATCAAAAGAAATGACATTCAGTGTGAACGTGATTCGGCTCATCACAACCGATTCGCTTGTGTTCACATTTATATTAAACAGTATTTTGAAACTCAAATTCCGAGCGAAGGCAAGCGAATGCTGACGAATGCTGAAGAAAGAACACGAACGAATAGTCTGCACGGTGGGGCCGAATCTTTACCGAATTCGCGTTCGTGTTCATTCGCATTCGTTAGCGTTCATTCGCGTTCGCGGCCGTAATGTAAATGCACCTTTATATTTATACACGAAACTGTGATACAACGCGACGTACAGTTGAAAGTCAAATAGATTTTTGTTAGGGTCACATCGTACTTGCGCGAAACGTAAAGTCACCTGTTAGATTATCTTTTAGGTATTCAAAAACATTTGCGCGATTCTGTACCGAATAAACATCATTAATAGTGCTAGGGATTTCATTTCCTTAAAAACCTTAAAATATGCATACAGTTATGTCTCAAAAAATCACTTAATATGCTACTAGAATATGCATTAAAAAAAAAAAAATTGCCTAGTTTTTAATAAAATCTTTATATTTTAATTTTTTGATAGCATTTACAACATTATAATTTGTAATCTAAGAAAAAAAAAACTTGTATAAATAAGATAAGTTAACAAATAATACTTATAGGTAGTTCGGGGAGATTTGTATAGTTCTTACTTCGAGCTTATTCTAAAACAAAAATTTAATATTTCATTAAAATAACAACTTTTAAATTGAATATATTTTTATATATTTTGAATAAATATAATACTTACAATCACTTTGAGCATTACATTGAACTATAAGATATTTTCTTAAGTTAAAAAATTTGAATGACCTCCTGTTATCAGCCAAAATATTTTTATAATTAGAAAAGGAACTCTTCATATCTACGGAACATATTAGTGCAAACTTATAAAATGGTAAATCACCACTGCTAATATCTGCAGACAATCCGTCCATAGATTCGTTTTGTCTACTTAATATGTTTGATATTTTTTTTTAATTGATCAAATCTAACATTTTTCTCCATAACATTTTTAATTTTGTCATAAATCGCTTTTGCTTTTGTAGAACCTCCAATTTTTTCAGAATGTATACAGAATTTTGTAGTTTTAATTATTTTAATGGATTCAGTGAGTGCAATGCCTTGGGTTCAAGACGAGCGATAGTTGTAAAAATAAATCCGTAATTTGACATAATAAAAGCTAAATTTACTTCCAAATTATTTGATATTAAAATTTGCTTACATTTTTTGATAGATTCTGCATCGTTCTAATCAAGCATTTTAATTATTTTGAAATGTTTGCAATAGTATAAAATGACATCTATCCATGTACTCCATCTTGTTAAAATAGGCTGCGGAGGTAAAGGAATATCAGGTGGAATAGATTTTAATGTTTGAATTCGTGACGGTGCTTTAAGAAAAGATTTTTTCACATTGGATACGAGCTGATCAACAGTTTTATATTGGTTTCTTACTTCTTCAGTAACACGGTGAAGCCCGTGTGCTAAACAAGTTACATGTATTGTTTGAGAGTATAAATTTTGAATCGCTTTGCCCGCCTTAATCATGTAAGGCGCAGCATCAGTCACAAAAGCACGTCATCGTATTTCACACCTTGCGGCCAGAGCAAATTCAATGATTGATCAAAAAGCTTGAAAATGGTCAAATGGTTTGCTTTTTGTAATTCTTCTGAATTTAATAAAAAAATACTACTTGGTTCATCAGCTGTTAAAGTTCCCATTATTACGTTGGCGATAAATCGCCCTTCTGCGTCAGTAGTTTCATCAATTGAGATCCAAATTTTTTTCCGTCAACACACTTTTTAATTTTTTCTATTGTTTCCATAAATATTTCGTCAACATAGCCTTTACGGAGAGTAGCTTCTTTTGGTATCTCTTTTTTAGTGTTAAGTTCTAAAAATTCTCAAAAATCTTTATTTTCTAATTTATAAAAAGGTATATTTGCCGACAATATTGCTTTGCATGAGTCTTTATTAAAATCGTTTTTTTTTTTTTTTTGAAAGAATTAAATACGAGTTGTTGAGTTTTGTTTGACTTCAATTCTTGTCGATTAATACCCTGGATGTGTTTTGCTGTTTTTACATGTTGAATTACCGTAAATCGTTTCTCAGCATTAATCTTAATGTCACATATTTTACAATACAGTACAGATTTATCAGCCGAAAATATTGTTTGGCCAAATTCTTTCACAAAATCGTTAAGTCGATCATAAAGTTTTGGTTTTGGTTTAGGCATTTTAATTCTTTTATTATGGATTCACACGATACTATACGAAAATAAAAAATGTACAGCACTGAGCACGAAAAAACGATACGAATAACGCACAACGATACAACCGCAAAACACAAACTGTCAACTAACAACTATGAACTAATTGAAAACAAAAATATTCGAGACAGAAATACAGCCATATAGTTCATAATTCATAGAATGTTATTTTTATATAATTATCGCCTTATCATTCGATCGGTGTACCGAGAAGTAACAATGCCAGTGATCGGCGAGGAAAATGAAAACATTAATTTTATATAAATAGAACCATAAGGCTCGGCTCCAAAAATTCTATTTAAAAAAATGTTCTTTCAATTATAAAATATTTAAAAAAATTACATCATCATATCAAAAATGGTCAAATATGCAAAATATGCAATTATAAATTTTAAATATAACCTCGTATTGCTACAAAACAGATTGCTATTCTACGTAGCTATGTTTTGAATGATTATTGAAAAATATGCAAACTCCTAGAAGTCCTTAGCCTTAATCATTACGGTTGTGCGGATAATAATAATAATACGACGATGGCAGTAGCAGAAAACGGCGTTCTCACAGAGAACGGGTTGCAGACGATTTATGACAATAACTGACACCGCGCGGAAAATTAATCTCACTGTAGTGCCTAGTGTTATTTACGTACATAAATAATAATAAATCCCTCAAAATATATATGCACATAAAAACATAGATAAACATATTCAATAATAACTATTGTAACATAAAAAAAAGTATAATTTTCGTAATTGTCATTATTCGTTTCATAAAATGTGGGTGTCTTAAAATATTCGTATTATTAACTACTTTCTAAAGTTGTAGATTTTAATTTCTTACTTATTAATCTAAATTTCTAATATCCAATCATTTATTTATACATACATCTATTATTGTTGAGAAACTGAAATCTCAACTCATTTACATCATTGACCTATCCTTAAAAAATAAAATGATAGTTCTAAAATGTTTCATGGTTCTTACGAAAAAACGAACTGGATATATCAAAATTGGGCGAGGACGCCCAGGGACAGGGAAATCAGAGATAGAGTAAGTCGCGAGGAAAACCAGTCAAACGCGTAAAATGATCGCCGCCGAATTATGGACCTCGACTTCGTTTGTTTGATTTTATAGAAATATTATCTCGTATACGGCCCATCGGATAGTGCAATGCGTTTCTCCTTGGTTTATTTTCTATGAAAAAATTCTATGATTTCCTATTTTATTTACCATATTATACCTAGCTCCGAGAACTGTGTTCTCTGCACACATTGTGTGAAGTATATATAATAGCCGTTTAATTAAATCGTAAAACGTGTACGTGTGTTGCCTTTTGGTTAACATTTTGTTCGGATAATACGTAATTAGCATCAGGATAGTACGCGTACATGTTTACACCTTAAAATACGGTCGAAAAAATAAAGTTTAATGAAAAGTAGGCCCGTCGAGAGTTTTTATGGACCTCGGGGCTGATAAATTCTGGGCAAGGCCGAATTAAGCACCTTTTAGGCCCTGGGGCTGAAATTTTAAATGGGCCCTTTTGACAAAACATGCTTTACAAAGCTGCTTAATAGGCTCGCAGAACGATACATTTATTTAACTATTTTACAAATTGTCGGTTGCATTATAAAATTATAAAATGAATAGGTATATACAATTTATGTCTATAAAACTACTAGTTTTGGTATGATATAAAATGTGTATCGACTTAAATTTGTTTGTGCACTTTTCACTTGGGTACTTGAGAGGGCCCCGGGGCTACTACCCCGGCTAGACCCCCCTTAATCCGACCTTGATTCTGGGTCTCTTTTACTTATACTTATTTTAAGATTTACAGATATATATCATATACAGCATAATATCAGTATTTAAGTTTAATAATAGGTGAATAAAAAAAACATAGCGTTTGATTAAATTATTTTATAAACTGAAGAAAAGAGGAAATCATATTATGAAATACATAATAATCCTCCATGTAGCTAACATATTGCTCACACAACTTTGTTATTAATTAGACAATTACACACACATAAAATCAATTAGAATTGTTTCACTCTAGTATAGTCCCGGGACTTTTGTCCTCCCTATCCCATTCTCTATTCGGTTTTGATGAAAAGTATATCGATCACGCGTTAATAGATGTATGCAAAGACAGGTTATCATAGGCAATTTTGGAATTGATGATTTCAGAATAGTAAATCTATTTAATAATAGATTGGGCCTTGTATTAAATGTTACATGATTTGTTGTGAAACATCACAATTATTCGCCTATTATCATTCCAATCATTACTAAAATATTTGTTTTTAAAAAATCTTGAAAAATTAAAGAAAATTAAAATTATCCGTACCTATTATGGTTTAATTTCTTAGTCATCGTATAACTACGCCGTCATCGTAGCTTACTGCATTCGTGTGAACAGATGTGTAAGAAACTGTCACGCGATGATACTAATGGAAGACGTATTTGCGTGTTTACAGGTACAGGATATCGAACGCGAGTATGTTCCGTTACCGGGAGGAGACGCGGGCGGCCAAGATATCCGTGCTAGTGATCATTACAGCGGCCGCGTGTTGGACGCCGTACGCGGTGCTCAAACTGTCTCAGTGGCCGCTGCTGTCGAGTGACCGTGGTGTCTCGTCCTCGGGCTCGCTGGTCGCGCTGCTCTCGTTGTCCGCACACGCCGTCATCACCCCTGTACTGTTCGCGCACCGCAACCGGCGCGTGCACCGTGAACTCTGCCGCATATTCTGCCGGCGCAAGCGGTGCAGCAGCTTCTACGACAACGTGCGGAACGCTACGGTCGCCTCGTCCGTGACCGCGCCCGTCAAGTCCGGGCCCGGAACGACCGCAGCGGCTGGACCACAACACGTGTTTGGCCGGTGGTTTAGCCGGCCGGGTGGCATCCGATTCGGCAAGACGTCCGTGGCCGCTTACCCAGTTTCCACGGCAGTCGCTTCGCAGCTGCCCAACGTGGCCGCCGCGCACCTGCCCACCGACACCGACATGACGCGCAGCTCGTTTTCCAGCAACGGCAGCGCCACCACGCAGGCTTCGTCGGTAATCACGGTGGATTGACCGCGACGGGTCGCCGCTGTCCTCCCACCGCCGCCACAGTCCGACGACCGGCGGAAAACGTCCGCACCAAAATCCTTCTAGTCACGTGGGATAGCCACCCGCAGCAATAGTGTACTCGGCCACGTCTGAAAATGATATGTTTAAAAACAAATTAAACATAAGTCGGTGCGTTGTTCGGACCAGTGTTGTGTACGCGTTTGCCAATGCATGCGTCGTATACTTATACGTATGTAATACATATATTATTATCTAAGTATATATATAATTATATATATACTAATACTATACTATAGTATAGTTATACTATACTAATACTATAGGTTAATAAATACTAATTTAAGTATATATATATATATATATATATATATATATTTATAAATATATGTATGGTACATGTGAACGGCTCTCAAAACTTGTTTTCCTATTATTGTGTACTTAAAACGAAATTTGTGTTTAGGGTATTTATATATATATGTATATATTATTTTTAATATAATTAAGTGTAACTACTGTGTTACATACTGGACGTAAGTTCAGCTAATCATTTGTGGATCGCTTTTATTTATTTTTCACCAAACTTTTTACTCCTCCCCCTCTCCAAAGAAATATGTCTTCACACTCTTTTCTTACGAAATGTATTTATTGTTTTATTATTTTTTTTATAAACTACTATACATTTATTTTTATTTTTAACTTTTAAGAATACTTATTCGAATTGTTGATAATATTTTTACAATAAATGTACTTGTATTTGTATTGACCCACAAACATGTTGTCGACCCATTCGATTGTTATTTTTCAGTTACGTGTACCCCGTGTTGTAATCCAATGATTTATTAGTTAAAACTTACGTTTAGTCCATGTAATTACAATCGCTAATAATATATTTAATTTCCTATTTTCTGATTACGTGCATATTGTTTTTGTGTTCACGTATGTATTATCCCTCGTACTACAATGGTTTGCGCCTATTTCGTTCGGTTACAGCCGCTGGAAATTGGTCAAACGCAGTCGGGCGCTGTGCGATGTCTACTCCTACATTGCAGGCATCGAATTAATTGCGATAGTAAAACAGCAGTTCACAGCAGCACCTGTGTCAACGAAACCTAAAATCCAAGAAAGGATAAGTTGTATTTTTTGTTAAGCACCACTTCGTACCATAGTTGTAACTTCAGATCAGGATTTTTTCACAAGCCACTTACGAATTGGTATATTTAGATTGATGATCTAAACAACATGTATAATTCCGGTTAACGAGTGGAACAACTAATATTAATTTTTTTCGTTTAAGTAAGTAGTTACTCTATCAGGGTATAATAAGGTTCAGCGTCCCTGCACAGCATCGTGCTTCACGTATTTTATTTTATGTTAATCAGCGGAGTATATACGATTTGTGGACTAAACAACGGTGCTATAATATTATCCGTATAATATTATTTACGATATAGTATAGTTGTTGTCGAGACCGGCCTTAGGTTTTTCGTTGTCCTAGGCAATTTTAATTTATACTGCCCTATTTAAAAGTTAATTTTTTGGAGAGGATATAAACATCATTTTTTAATGATAATCCTGTGTTCTTATAATTACGAAATCAAACAGTACACTCTAGTGGGTGTAGTATATGTAGTATTATTACGCCGTTGGATGCCGGACAAAAATAACACGACATGTAAGACGACCCAGAAGATACAATGTAATATAATAGCTATATTCGGTAGTGAATTCAGGGCATCAGATTAAATAAATAAATGGTGAATATTATTATTCAAATAAAAATTATGCATATAATTGTAGTAGTCTGTACGTTCCGGTTACACTGGTAATGTTACTATATCATTGATGATTAGTATATCGCTTATTTGTATTATTAAGACTCGTTTCATTATCATTACCAGAACGATATCGTATTCTGTGCGTGAGCGCTATTATATTTTTGGAAATTCAATGTAGAGAATAAAGGAAAAACACTATTAATTTATATACTGTAAATATTAGTTTATTTCACTAGACTACTTAACTTAAGATTATGAAAAACGCTATCGAGGTTCTGTCATACTTTAGGCTGTACGTCGACTGACCTACTCACGTTGACCATGGAAGTCGTTCGCCAGCTCGAGTCCGAATTTGCTGACCAACGCGATTCCTACAGTCACGTAGGCCGTCGCGTCAGCCGACGAATTTACCTATATAGGGTACAACATACTTCCCGAGTGAAATGAAAGCAGTTCCTGCGACCATCTTATGCTAAATTTATTCCCCAAACCTTATCTACTAATTTTACAAAATGTCTTAATATTACGGGTGTGCTAGTATACAATATCGCCACATGCACCTTGCTTATTTAAATTTAACTGAAGCTAAATATTCTATCGGGTATATGTTAGAGTTATAATGATGGGCTTTTATGTAGGAACTATGTTTGTTAAAGTGAGAGAATAAAAAAAAAAAAAATTAAAATAAACTTATATTTTTAAATTTGAGTTCCGTTGCAACATCCTGTGGTTGGTACATTACATGTTTTCTAGATTTATACTTAAGAAAACAAAATAAGAAACTCAAAAGAGTTACGAGAATAGTAGAAATAACAATTAGAGGGATGATTAAATACATGTTACTTTTTTTTCCAAAGACAATTTTTATTCATTTCAACTTTAACCTATTCCTCTATTTTTCCTAGGGATTTGGAATGACGTGATAAGTCTTCCAGACCTAACGTGTTATGATTTTCTGAAAAGTTGAAAGCCTTCAGGAGGTCCTAAGATATATTTGATACTACGGAATACTTAGTCCTCCACTTTGTATTTTAATGTAAAGGTTTTGACTGAAATTCCTAACAGTTGTTTGCGATGGGGTAAGAATATTATTTAATAATTAAATTTGTAAACGTTGGAGTTGCTGTAGTGTGACTAGATAAGAAAAGTTGATTCTTGTAGTGTGACCACACTGATTGTTGTATTATTGATAGTAAATAATTATGCTGTAAAGTGTAAATGGTTTGTTATTAATATCTCCACAGACTACATAGATAAAATGATACTTCCATAAAAACCCGCTTATAATAATATTGTGGTGTCATTTGAAATTTCTTATTATTATTCTATGTGTCATTTGTTAATTGTTATTGTAAATGTTATTAAAAAAGAAGGCACAATTTATTAATAACATTGAGAATAGACAATACAACAAATACTTCAAGTGATCAATTAGGAATGCATATCATTAATAATTTGTAATATCAACAAAATAAATATTAACATTAATTATCTGTTTGTGTTTTCTATATTTATTTCGTCATCAATAGTATTATTTATTATTAGTAATAAAATAATATAATGTAATAAAATTAGTGTGTCTGTTATTTTTAAATTAAATTCTTAAGAACGGTACGTCTGCCTTTTTAAGTAAATACTTCTCATAAAAAAAAAAAAAAAAAAAAATCGCAAATGTTAAATAATTGTTGCAAATTTATAACTCAATCAAAACTCATATTCAAAGCTACTTAAAAGCTAGTAATCAAACTGACGGAGAAATCATTGTATCAAGCTCATCAAGGATTGGGAATATATGTGTTGTAGAATGCAAAAAGAAAAATGATTCGGATTGTCAACTGATATTGATAGCTATATACATTTCATCCATCGTATGTATGCGAGATATAAAGCTCTTTGTGAGTAAGGCGTTACTACCATTAACAGTCGCAGGTTTCCGAGGACTCGAGGAAATAACTGGTGAACCAGTATATTATTGCGATCGACCTGTAGTTTTGATAGGAGATTTTAATGTAAACTTTTCATTGCCAGTGGCTCAACTATTGCTCGATTTCCTTGAACAAAAATTCTCTTTGAGAATGGTAAACAGTAGACATTATCCTACGACTAAAGGTGGTACTACCATTGATGCTGTATTTGCCAGGAAACTTGAAAATATAGAACTAAAGCATTTTGTATCATACTTCAATTATCAAAACCCCATCAGTATTACCAGACTGACAGAATAGCAAACTGATGACAATTCTATAAATATTTAAATATTTATTACATAAATTTTATATTTGCCAATAAAACGAAAGTTAATTAAAATCTAACAGAATGTGTTAATTTTCTTATGTAATAATATTTTACTGTTATTATATTTAAATATTAGTTAAAATCAATCCCTTCCTTACTACTCCTTAATAAAAAGTATTCACTTCCGACGTGCGTGATTGCTCACACAGTTATTTTTTTTTTTACTAACAAATGTTAGTAGTTCTTATTATTCTATGAAAGGTTTTATAAGATTTTTGTGTATCATCACTTTCTTTATACCTTTGCGGATTGTAACATTTTCGTTTTAGTTCTAAAACTTCGTAAGGACCAAGCCATTTGGCACTTAGTTTGCTTTGTTTTGCTTTGTCTTGTATTAAAACTTTATCTCCTACATAAATATCAATAGAATGTGCGCTTTGGTCATAGTTTATCTTAGTTCTCTGTTTATTTTGGATTAAGCGTTCTCCCGCGATCTGGTGGGATTCTCTTCGGTTTTAGTTCTGTTTGGTAATCACCATAGTTATAACGTGCTTCTGGAGCATTTGTTAGTGAATTAGGTACTAACAGGGTCTTGCCATATAATAACTCATAAGGTTGCTTACCTATAGAGCTATGTTCTGAGGAGTTATACTCAAACATAGCATACGGTATGTAAGTGTTGTAGTTTTGTTGGTTAACGTCTACGTAGTGTCAAAGGTATTCTCCCATAGTTCTGTGACTTCTTTCGAGTGCTCTATTAGCCTGAGAATGATAAGGTGATGTAGTGCTATGCTTTATGCCAATCAACTTGCAAGTTTCAGTGAAAACCCGACTTAGAACTTAGACTCAGTTCCTTGATCACATACGATATTCTGGGACATTCCATGAATGCATGTAAAGGAAGTAACGAAATGGTATGCCACTGTACTTGATTTCTTATTGGCCATCGGCGTGGCAACCGAAAATTTAGTTAAGTCACATTTCATGGTGAGAATATACGCATTTCCGTCAAAAGTTCGTGTTAATGGCCCTACAACGTCGATCAATACTTTCTCGAATGGTTCCATCGCTGTGGTGCTGATTGTCATAGGCTGTTTTGTGTTGCGATTGGAAAATTGCTTGACTTGACAATTAACATTTGTTAATGAATTTGGTGACCTCTTGTTTCAAACCTCCCCAATCATATTGTCGTTGAATCCGCTTTATTGTTTGTTGTATTCCGCGACGTCCTCCCAAGATTGCGACATGATATTCACGGATTATTGCATG